AATGAGATCTCTCTCTCTGACCAGCATACCCATGCTGTATATTCTACCTGCCTGTCAGTTACTTGGTAGCCATGTTGGATATAAGATCAACAATTACTGTTTCACAGTACTTGTGTTCAAGGTAACTTGCTTTACTTATAATGGCCCCCAATACAAGAATACTGATTCTAGCAATCTTTTCTTTCCTTCCTTCCTTCCTTCCTTCCTTCCTTCCTTCCTTCCTTCCTTCCTTCCTTCCTTCCTTCCTGCCTTCCTTCCTTCCTTCTTCCTCCCTCCCACCCCCCCCTCTCTTGCCAATCCTGAGGCTTGAACTCAGGGCCTGGTCACTGTCCCTGAGATTCTTTTTGCTCAAGGCTAGTACTCTACCATTTGAGCCACATTGCCACTTCTGGTGTTTTGTTTATGTGGTACTGAGGAATCGAACCCAGGGTTTCATGCATGCTAGGTAAGCTCTCTTACCACTAAGCCACATTCCCAGCCTGATTCTAGCAATCTTATTACAGCATCTTTGTTACAATTTATATTTTTCTGCTACTACTAATTTTAATGTGACTAATTTATAAATGAAACTTTATCATAAATATGTATTCATAGGAAAAAATGAATAAACCAGCAGGGAATCTTGCCTATGCAGTTTCCAGAAGGGCCAGGCCACCAGATAATCTGGTTAAGGGTCTGCCCAGAACATGATAAGAATGCTTGCTTGGACTCCTTACCCCAAAGACCTCTGTTGTTGTTGTTGTTTTGGGGGGTAAGAAGCTCTTGGTTACAGCAGTGTAACCTAGACTAAGAAAAATAGTTTGGCATCAAGATCTCTTCATAAAAACTAGAAGTCTAATTTTTCTTAAAGCTAGTTTTCAGGGTGGATTCTACAGCTGTGACAGTAAGAGAACCAAACAGACCATCATGGCAGTTGTAAACACTCACCTGCCCAATTCCTGGAGCTCCAGATTGTTTCTGGACTTCCTTTCTCTCTTACCTCAGCTCCTGGTTTACATGTCATCAATACTGTCAACGCCCTGATTTCTGCCATCTGAACCCCTCTCCTGAACCCCAGCCTCATTCCAACACATGTAGTAGGCATCACAAACTTAACGTCTCCCATTCTCACCCCAACCTCTCATGCCATTGTCCTCTATCCCAGTAAAATAATACCAATAAGCATTCATCTATGGTTTTGAACAAAAAGGTGGGATCAATTTTGGCTTCTCTTCTCTATCTCACAACAAGAAGTTCTCTTGGCTTCTTCCCTTCCACATTTACCTTACCTAACTACCTCACCCCCTGCTTTTAGCATAGCCATCCTGGTCTAAGTCACCATCACCTTGCGTGCATAAACATCATCTCCAGTTGGACCCCTGCACTGCCTTGCTCCTTTACAGCCCACCCACAGACCAGGAACCAGAAGGACCCCTGTAAAACCTCAAGTCAGCTATCATTCTTTCTCCAATAGCCCCACTGCATGCAGGGTAGGCACCAGTATCCCCAGAGATCAGGGACCATTGTCATGTGGCCCTCCATTTTCCACATCCTCCTTTTCTGGTGCCTTCCCCTTGTCTACTCACTCTAGCCACTCTGGCCTTGCTTTTTCTTGAACAGCAGGATTGTCTTCTGCTAGTTCTCCCTGCCTGTAACACTCTCCATCCACCCTGATGACCAAGGGCCTATTCCTTCATTTCAGGTTTCTGCTGAGATGCCACCTCACCTAAGTCCTTCACTGACTACCCTACATCCCCGCTATATTTTTCTCCAAAGCACCCATTGAAATTATGTGCTATATTTACTCTTTGGGGTTTATTTTTATAAAAATACACACCACAGATGGGGAAACTGAGTAGCTGCTTTTGTAGTATTCTACAGAAAGAAGACATCTTTTCAGCCATCAAACATGCCACCCAGGCCCTACAACTTCTCATGCTACCTATCTGTAAGTTCTGAAAAATCTCTGCTAGTTACAGCTAGAGCAGGAAAGGCTGGCCAATGATGGCTGACCTGGAGTGAGGGAGTCTGGGCAGGACAAGATCTAGCCACAGGTTTGAAAAGCAGAGCCTGCACATTGCTCCTCATTCACACAGGGAGGAGCCACAGTGGGGAGCTTTGGCCTAACGGCAGCAAGCGCCTAGGAAAGAAGGGAGAACACTGAGACCACGCATGGACGGACCACAGTCCCAATCAATCATCACTTAAGGGGCCCTCACTTAGGTGCTAGATACTACACAAAGTGCTAGAGATCTAAATATCCCATTTACCAGGTTCCACTGAAAGGGACTTCATTGTATCAATATGTAAACAGCTAGTTTTTTACTGCAGCTCAAGCATGTTTTCACTGTCTATTTCAAACCTTTCTCTTCTCCACTAACCTTGACCACTCCCTCCAGTCTCACCAGGAAACTTCACTTCCTACTGCACAGAAATAAACAGAAGTCATACCTGAATGACTTCCACTTTCAGCATCTCCCTGTATGGGGCCCTTGCTTGGCTCTGGCCTTTTCCAGCATTCACAAAAGTGGCCTCTGAATTAGGCCAGTCTTTTCACTGGATTCCCCCCCTCCCCCGACCCCCAGCCTTGGATGTCTGGCCTTTCTCCGAGGGACCTGCTGATGCAGATTCTCCTCCATCTCTACCTCTTTACCATCAGCCTCTACCCTTGGCTGTCTCTTTTCCTTCAGCATTCAAACAATCTCAAGTCTCTCTTAAGATGAAAGAAAATCAAATTATTTTCACTTTCAGGTTTCCATTGAGCTTCTGCTAAAACATGGGGACACATCCTTACCTTTTACCCCTATCCTCAGCCACTCTAGCCCAGATTACACCCTCCCAACCCTACAGCTGCTCTCACCAACATCGCAGAGATTTCAGGGGTTACTAAGCCAATGGTCAAACTCCAGTCTTCTTCTCTGTCCTCAAGACAACATGTGATATAGTTAAAACTCAACTTCCCATAGCTAACACACACTTGAAAATACCCTGAAGTTTCCCCAAGACCACACTGAGCTGGCCTAGAAGTCCATGTGTAAACAATCAATTGTTTCCAACTGTTGTCTATCTCCAGCCCAGATAGCTCCTTTGTTCTACTCCCATTCTGCTACAGCTTGTTTCCGGTCAACAAGTGAACACCTCTGTAAGCTTTCTGAAGCCTACACATCCAAAACCAAGCACATCTCCCCTTGCCAAAGCTGATCTTTCCAGAGCTCCCTCTTGGTGAGGGTTTATTCTCCAAAAGCTGGCACCATTTCTGCAAATCCCTCTCTCCTCTTCCCACATCCAGATGGTCACTGTAGCTTTATAATGTGCCTTGTAGGTACATTCTGTCTACTTCCCTCCCCCTACTCCCCAATCAACCCCATCCAATTTCAGAATCATTTCCATTCTGCTTCTACTAAGCATGCCAGTATTTTAGGACATTCACATGGGAGACACAGTAAGTTTTCCTAGGTGAATCCTATACATCTAATTAGCCTCTCCCTCTGAACCGCAGTAGCAAAAAGGCATGATGCCTATTTAGATTAGCTTCACCTGTCTGCTCCCCATTCTCCATGTTCAAGGGCCTCCCTAAAGGCAGCTCTGAGCAGCCCGGCTGTTCTGAGCCACCTGCCTTAGTAAGAGAGAATGGAAAGGTCTCTGAGTGGTGGCTTTGCAACAAGTCACTCTCATCCTGTCCTGACTTCACAGCTGGATTCTACCAGAGAAGCTTCCCCACTCCTGGTGATCAAGCCACAGCTTCTCTTGGCCTCCCCAAATCAATTTTCTCTGCTGGTCCCCATACTGGCTCCCTGCCATGAGCTATTCTTCCTCAAAGACAGACTGTTTGCCCATACATCTTTTTTTGTTGTTGTTGTTATTTTTTTTCCCTTTATTTTTTTTTATTGTAAAGATACTATATAGAGGGTTACAGATACATGAGTGAGGTAATGAGTACACTTCCTCTTGAACATTGTTAGCCCCTCCCTTGTTTTCCCCCTACCATCCCC